GACATACATACATACATACATACATACATACATACATACATACATACATACATACCATACCATACCATCTTTGAATGTTTCAAAATCGAAACTGGATGAATTAAATGACTCTCCTCAGATAAGGCCAGGTTGATGGCCGTCAGAAGTGAATTGGGGTCTGCTTGGCTAAGGGCCATTCCCATTACAGCTTGTGGTGCAAGGCTTGACAATGATTCTATTAGAGTGAGTTTATGCTTGAGACTTGGGTTGCCGGTGGTGTCAGGTTACAGATGCTTTTGTGGGGCGGATGTTTCTCAGTTGGGTCACCATGGTTTATCGTGTAGGCTTGGTTCAGGAAGACAAGCAAGACACTCTGCCATGAATGATTATATATGCAGATTATTCCAAAAAGCAGATATACCTACCGTTAAGGAACCAGCAGGCCTACTATCTGAAAGCAACTTCAGGCCAGATGGTTACACCCTGGTACCGTGGTCCCAAGGTTGTTGTTTATCATGGGATGTGACGTTTCCTCACACGTTAGCCGAAAGGTACATAAATTACACGGCTATGAAGCAAGGTTCCGTTGCGGTGAAGGCTACTGATTTCAAGAATACTAAGTATAAAGATCTAAACGACAAAACGAGAGTTTTTGTTGCGATCTGCGTGGAGACATTTGGCCCAGTTGATAAACAGACACAATTATTTTTTGATAGCATAGGTACTAAAATAGTTGAAAAATCTGGTGATCCCAATGATAAAATTTATATAAAGCAAAATATATCGTTGTTGTTGCAAAAGTTTAATTCATTTTGTATTTTAGAGAACATTACTAAGTGCCCTTCTGGGCGAGACCCTGTACACTAATATTATCAGTTGAGCAGGGGCGAAATGATAGTTTTTATGGCTATTGTTTTTAACCAAGGGCTCGCACATACATACATACATACATACATACATACATACATACATACATACATACATACATACATACATACATACATACATACATACATACATGCATGCATTCATACACACGTAAATTTCCTAGCCGCATGAAAATTGCAAAGGTTCTACCTGTTTTCAAGAATGGCGATCCTAAACTTTATGAAAATTATCGCCCAATATCGATACTTAAAGCTAATGTTCAATAGACTGTGGAAATTTATTTTACAATTTAATATAATCAATAAACAACAATATGGCTTTATTCCCAAATCGTCGACTGAATGTGCAATTGCTGAACTTCACCAATCACTTCTCAAAAACTATGAACTGAAAAATTTTAGCATCGGTGTCTTCATTGATCTGAAGAAAGCATTTGATGTCATAGACCATTCACTACTGTTGTCAAAATTGAAAATGTATGGCATTCGAGGTACAAGCTTTGATTGGTTTGATTCATATCTCAAATGCAGAGTTCAGTACACTTCTGTTGATGATGTTACATCTGCTACTGGAACTATTCTGACTGGAGTTCCTCAAGGATCCATTTTAGGACCACTATTATTCATATTATTTGTCAACGATATTTTATCGGTATCAAATACTTGTAATACCGTGCTATATGCAGATGATACAGATCTGGATGATACAGATGATACTTATCTGGAGATAATCCATATCAGCTTTTCTCTAATATGAACAACGAGTTAATAAAATTTGTCGATTGGTTGAAAATAATAAA